AAGTTTCGATCGAAATTGATCGAAGCACGATCGCGTTAGTTTATACGGACAGATGTTTGACGATCACAATAATCCAGCCGTGGCTTCGAGCGGAAATGACGCGCGCTTACAACGATGGTCACCGATGATCTCACAGAGATGATACGCGGTGATAGGGATCGCTTCTCGTGCTATGAAATTGTTTAAAAACGAATACGGGGCCCTCGCATGGCCGGGCATCGTCGCCTTAATGACGCCAACTGTCACTAAAGGCCCCTTCGATCATGTGCTCGGCGATGTGTCTTAATTGGTCCGCAAGTCGACCGTTATTATTAACTCTGAAAATGACGCGGTAATGCGAATATTATCCGTTCGGCAAGAACTTTGACGGCAGGTAACGCAAAAGTACGTGCAATTTTACGTTTGCGATATAATTATTAGTTATCCGGGAATCACACTCGTCGCATCGGGAATGAATGCGCGCGTGATCCGCGTAGTAACGTATGTAAGTACTGTGTCGATATTTATGAGAATTTTACCTGTTTCTTTGATCACGATCATCACGAAGATACATAGACAATCGTTAATATTTTACGGTAACGTTGTGCGTCTGCCCTGCAATTACTAGACCATAACTCACTCGGTATATCGCTGCATCTAATTACCAGGCTGACTACAATCGGCGATTCACTTTAATAATACGGTATCGCGTCTATTTTAAACTTTCTTTTCTCGATCAACGTGCGCGCGCGTTATTTAAAGTGTATTTATCCCTGAATATTTATCCCTTATTTTTACATGTTCAATGACCACTGAACCCTGATGAATTGCATTGACGCGTTGCACGCACGAATCATCGAGATGGGTACTATGCCATAAAGAAAAAATAAATAATCGCATAATCTTTAATCTCTAACGCTATCAGGCTTATTCCGTTTCAATAATATTGGGTCATTTAAAAAGTATCCGCGGTTTTTTCATTCAAAAATTGAACAAAAAACCGCGGATACTTTTTAAATGACCTAATAATATATTACAACAATGTATTCCCATTGAGTGACCTTGACGTGAAAAGCGCAGCCGATATACGCGGCGTTACATCAAGTCGCGGATACATGACTTCGCGTTAAAAGAGATGCGCGGAGACGTATCTTAACCCGGGATCAGTCTGGGCCGGTTAGCCGTCTAGTGGCATTTATAACTCGTGATTATTATTTGAGTTGATTTGAAACACGCGCGGTGTAGCCTTTCCCCTCTTCGGCTTGCATGCGACCATCGTCGTGGTCGTCATCATCATCATCATCATCACTCTTCCTTACGCGCCCCCGCGCGAATCCGGCAGCTGCTATGAAACACGCATCGACGTACATGTCCTCGGGGCACATATATACGTAATAAAACTTATCAATATAGACCGATCAATTCTATCGGGTACCATCAATTGTATTGCTGTTTCGAATGGCTCGAATGAATATTGGCATCTCCGTTATGGTACTAATTATATGTATTCGGAATAATTAAGGCTTCTATATTACTGTCTCAAATTGTGATGTCAGAAATAAAGCATATCATAAAAATTCTTGCAAATTACATTTCAATGGAAATATTTTTCAATAAAATAACTTTGCAATCAATGTAAATAGATTATAAAATATATCGAAAACTATCTTTTTTTCGGAAAGAAATTAAATCATTTATATTTCTGTATATTATTAATTTTATGTGCGTCATAGTTATGAAAGCTTATTTTGTTTTTGGTTATGCCTAATTTATTTCTAGATATATTGTTATTTATTAATTAATGAAATAAAAATGTTTTTCGATATATTTTACAAGTTCGGTTCTATTGACTTTTTTCATTGAAATATATTTTCATATCAATTTATATGTTGGAAGAATTTTTATTGTGTATTTTTTTTTAATTTTGATATCATAATCTGAAATATTAGTGGTAAATGAAAAGGATCCTTAAATAATAATAATAATAATAACAATAAGAAAGCATGCGATCGATTATTGCGCGGTTAATTGGCAATTGTATTAAAGTTATTTTACATAGAAAAGTTCGTTTCACAGTTACATTGTCTTATACATAAAGCCAGAGTTTCTGAATTTTTTTTTACGGAATTAAGTCTGACTTAAGGAGAAAGAAAAGCGTAATCTTTTTAACGTCGTGATATTACGGTGGTTGTTTGTGTCCTACTAAAAAAATTGCTAAAGGTTCATATAGTCGAGAATAGTGTATTCACATAGACGTTATATTTCTTTTTTTATTTATTTTCTCTCGGGATGACATTAAAAATAGAAAATATTACACTGATGATTATGAAAAAATATTGAACAAAACATAAATCGATTCGCAGAAGCTTCAAGGCGCGATTCTTATAACTCATATTTGTATCGAGATTCTCTGTTAAAACATTGATACTGAATACTGAGTACCGTTTTCGTTCTTCAACGCTATCAAAAGCGCCATAAAAGAAGCGGTCGGTGATGGTCGGTGGGACCACCGGCGGTAGGAAGGGGAATGGGCATCGGGTGAAATTTGTCAGTATTAAATAAATAACCCATAAAGGCGGAACATCAATCCACCGTGAAGGCATTAACGCCCGATATAGAGGGGAGGCGAGGCACAACGGCTGTTATTTTTCATACACCAGCTACATCTTATATACGAGCGCGCCTATATATCGAAGCTCACGCGTTCTTCCTCTCGCCGTAAAGGAGAGGACCTCCCCTTTCTTCTTGTTTCTTCCCGCTCTTCTCTTTCTTCTTCTTCGAGGTTTTTACGACCGGCACGTTGGACCGTATCGCGAGTTACGCCGTAGATCAAAAGTGATGTGTCTATTATGACGTAAATACTTAAGATCCCTCGAGTCTCCGTTATGGTCTTCTGGACGAAGTTTCGTTTCGATACGCGATGCCACAATTCGAGCTCCCTATAAGTTTGTTGAAAAAATTCTGTGTTATCGCGTTATCAAATACAAAACTAAAGTAGAATACGAGAGATTCGTATGTGAGGCTTAAAACGCTCGTTACGCTAAAAAATTTGATATTAATCCTTGCAGCAATATTTCTGCTAAGTTTGCAATATTGTTGGAACGTTGCAATGTTAATACAATATTGCTGAAACGATCTATGGGAATTTTTCGATAAATTAATCTGATTAAAGAGATAACACAAAGCAAATATATCGAATTAATATACAATCACAACATTATTCATAGAAGCATATCAGTTATTGTTCAGCACGTTCATTTTCAATATCGAAGAGTATATTAATACGCAACATTGTACATATTAACGGAGAAACGAAAGGACCGAAAGGACCACCGAAGGCGCAGCGGCAAGCTTTAATCCAGTACAAGAGAGACGCGGTTGAAGACGCGCGCGTGCGATGAAGCGATATACATCCGAGGGAGCGGCTAAGACGAAAAGAGCGAAATCTTAGCAGAAGGACTGCACTAACGGCGGAAGGGCCGCCAGGGCGGAGGCGGTTGGAGGCGGCTGCCGTACTGTCGATACAAGGGGTCGATTGTGGCTTGAAAGGTACCGCCGATCCAACGGCTCTCGGACCGCATTCGGCGGTCAGACCGGTGCACGACGGTACAGTGGCAGACTTGTACCCACGATGCCGATTCCGATGCCGAGATTACGGCGGATTTCGCGCATCGCGCGTCCCATCCTGGGACACGCCATACGCGCCGTGGCCGCTATTAGCTTCGGCTTTGATTGGCTGCGTTTAATGAGCCGGGCGACACGCGTATATAAATTGCTGCTTGCTCGTCTTTGAAGATATTTCGAGGCGGTTGCAGAAGGATTCCTCTTCCTCCTCCTCTTCCTCTTCTTCTTTCTCTTCCTCCTTCGCGATGTTTCGACGTTCCTTTCTTGTCTGCGCGTTTTGCAGTATGTATCGCGGATGTCATCGCCAAATTTCTGCAAATTCGTCTCCGTGCCCGCCACGCGGTCACGGACTACGCGTTGGCGTGTCTTGGCGACAGATGAATGGCTTCGAAAGAGGAAATGTGTCTCCTCGAATAAACTACGACATTCATATTAGCGACAAAGTTAGATACTTTGAACGGTGCAGCTGGCAAATTTTAATTATTACGGAACGGGATTTTATTATACTGACATAATATTTATTACACTCTCATTTTATTGTAATTATTAAAATGTTTTAATTAATGTTTGATTTCCACCAATGTGTTTCCATCAACTAAGCGTTCTTTTATCATGCACTTGTCATTTGTCGCGCATCGACGCATGCATAGAAACTAATAGCGTTTTTCACTGGCAGAAACTAGTGCGCACTCAATGCACATTAAAGCTGTTGTATACTAACTTAATCTGAATGTAAAAGATATCTCAATTAATAAAATACCCAATGTATATTTTATTAAATACCACAATAAAATGTATCGAGGATTTTGCGGTTTAATTCGTTTCTTTATTTTTATTAAACGTACATCTTTACGTCGATTTGTGTACAACGGCTTTAAAGTATACTGAGTGTGTACCAGCTCTGCCAATGAAAAACGCTATAAGGTAATAGTGAAATGTTTTATAGTACCTATTACCGTCTGAATCTATCCGTATGTATCTTTAGTATTTTTTATTTCTGTTTTATTTACGTGAATGTAATTACGTGAATATAACCATAATGATTGTACATAACCACGTCTTCTTACATCATGAATATAACTCTTAATTGTTAAACTTAAACATAGTTCAGGAATGAAAAGACACGATGTCGAAGATCGTGGTATTAACATTCGCGAAAGTATCGTAAAATTGAAGACGTCCTATGAAAATTATCCGAAGAATATGTAAATCTCTTCAAAGTAAGCAAATTTCTATTCATATTGTTGTTATATATCTGAAATAATTACGTTTAATTTTCCAGAAATATAATATCACGAAATGTGGACGTAAAATAACCTCTCTAATAATTAATCAAATATTGATTTTGTAATTTTTGAAGTATCAGTCGATCCTTTTACTGCTCATTTTGACTCAGTATGACGCCAATCAGAAAAAATTCCTCTGATATGTTCGCAAAGAGTTGCACACAGGAAGTCAAAACGAACTATTTCTTTTCGTTGCAATGCAATAAGAAGCCCATTAATACGCAATCAAGAGCTTCAAAAATATCAGCTTCGAGTGTGGAGATGTATCTTAGGATAAGCCCAGCATCGGTATTTCAAAAGAATTACATCGTACTCGACACGAGAACTCTTTTAACAACATTCCAGCCGTTTGAGGATAAATTCACTCGAAATTCGAGATGTGCGAAATCGAGCGAGGCCGAAGGCAGACGGCATGTCTTTACGAAGATTTTTGGATCAGAAACTTCGCAAGCGGAGATGTTCGAGGGATCCATAAAACATCGAGTCGTGGAGTTTCTCAGTGGTAAAAGTTCAACCATCATGACTTACGGCATGAGGGATTCCGGGAAGACTTACACGCTGTTCGGCACGTCCTCATCGCCCGGTATAATAACGCGTAGTATCGAGCTTGTATTTTCGGCGATAAACTGCACTATAGCGCCATGGTACAAACCAACGTTTCAAGACACCGTGTTCCGCTTGAATGAGACCGCACGAGCTTTAGAGATGCAACGAAAAATGCGAGTATTAAATGGACAATCAACGAATGTAAATCAGATATCTGCGGAAGCCAAAACGTTTTTGGAGAACTCACAGCCAGGTAATCCTGACAAATCCGAAGAGTGTGATAGCGAGTCAATGTACGCCGTCTGGCTGTCCTTCGCGGAGATTTACAATGGAAACATTTACGATCTGTTGGACGACGCGGAAACGCGCTCTCCGTTGAAATTGTATATGAACACTGAAGGGCGAGCTGTTTGCAGTTTGCAAAAAGTGCATGTCTTAACTGCGCTGGAAGCCTGTCAGATTCTCATGGCGGGCGAATCGAGAATGAGTGTCACGACAGGATCGGAGAAGTCTCGATCACATACTATTTTCACGATGAAATTACTGAAGTATCAGAAGGATCATGCAGCGGAAGAAGTGATACTCAGTACTTTGACTTTTTGCGACTTGGCTGGCTCTACACAGTTCAAAAAATCACGTATGCGGGAAGGAAGTAGTATCAACAACAGTCTGCTAGTACTTGGTAGATGTGTCAAGGCTGTGAGTCAGAATCGAATGGCACCATTCCGTCAGTCAAATTTAACGAGAATATGTCAACGAGCTCTCTCAGGTGAAGAAAATTTAAGTTTTATAGTGAATGTCGTTTTTCAGTCGAGTCTATTTGATGAAATACAGAGCATTTTAAATTTTTGTGATATAATTAGAAAGCTAACAAATTATCATAAGGAATGCAAACAAATTTGCGAATTTGGAGAAACTATCCGTGATCTCGAAACATTTGATAACATTATGATGTCATCATCAAATTATCAAAGTCCACGTGAGATTGCAGAAACGATCGGCTGTACCGATTCGTTAGAGTGCAGAAATATACGAGAGCAGAATAGAAGACTGAAGCAAGAATTGGAAACTGTTAAAAGTGATATGCTAAATTGCGAATACACAATTCGTCAACAACTAGCCGATCATTATTTATGCATGATTGAAGAGTTGGAAGGGACCTACAAAGAGAATACCAAGAAGATCGAAACTGAGGGAGAGGATCTATTAAAATGGTCTATCAAACAGGTCGAAAGCTTTTATAAGGAACGCATCGATAATCTGATGCGGCATAAGAAGAGAAAGCGAGGAAACAGCGGAGATTACATCGAGGATAGTCATACACTTTACGAAGAGCTCAAAGCTGAGAATGCACAGGTCACTTCCAAGGTGATGGTTCTGAAAGAAGTAGTGAAGAAATTGAAGCAAGAGAACAAGACGATCCTCTGCGAAAAGAACAAATACAGCTTTGAATTAGCTTTGGTAACGGAAGAATTGAAAAAGTTTCGACAGCTCACGCGAGCTAGGATTCGTAAGTGGGGTGGCAACATTGAAAACATCAAGGATGATGCTGATTGTCTCATGAACAATCTGGAACGATTAATGGATGAAAAAGTAAAAAGAACCGAGGAGAAACTCGAAGAGATGAGCGAATATATTCGTGTAATAGAAAATAAAGACGCTGAAACTGCTTCTGGAGCGAAACAGAAATTATCAAAATCGGAGTATCTTTTGAATGATACTTTGAACAAAGTGAAAGAGGAGGAACTTTTACAAGAAGCTTGCATCGTCAAACTGCAGCATCATACACAATTGCAAGAAAGGCAGCTTGTCCAAGTTCGACAGTGCTCGAATGATACAAAAAATGAGAGTATAAGCGATAAAAAATGTGACCAATTAACAAATATTTCATTTGAGGATTATATAGCAGATAGCTCTATTCAGGATAACATATCTGTAGTAAAAAATCCCTCACGAATGTGCATAAACTCAACCACAATTGGACAACACGAGTTTAACGACTGGATCACTGTTCCTACATTGTTTGCGGACCATGTCAAATCAATGAAAAACAAACTCTTGAATGTGTCAAACGTTGATCGCAAAAGTCTCTTCGAAAGTAGTGGCAGTATGGATTGCAGCGGTTCTAGATCGAGTGATAGAAGTAGCAAAGACTCGGGTGTAAGTAGCGAATTACGAAGATCTACCAGCGTAAGTGATCACGCAAGTACCCGCGAAAATGAGAATAAATGCACACAAACTTGTGTCATCGATGAGGACAGTCAGAATTTAGTGAAAGAAAACGTTGAAGATAGCGCAAATTTGAATAAATGTAATTATCAAGAGACGGTTGCTGAATTGTCTCAGGACTTGGAAACTATTCGGGATGTGATTTATGCATTAAATGAAGAGACTTATACGAACGATTGTCAAATGCCGCACAAAGAAGAAACATTGGAACGATTGATTGAAGAGAAGAATGAAATTGGAATCAAAGACGATGGTGTATTCAAGATGACGGAAAATAAAATACAAGAATACAAACGTGAGATTTATGAGCTAAGCCGCAAATTGATAGTCAAGGAAGAAAATGAAAATCGAATTTCCAAATGCTTAGAAAGATATATAAAGAAATCTAGAGCCTTTGAAAATAAATTATCTTTGTTGCGTAACCGACTGAAGAAAGTGTTTAGTAGATGCGCAAATGAACACTTACCAAAGATCGAAAATTTGGAAAAAGAATTGTTACAAAAGACTCTACAGATAAGCGAGTTCGACAAAAGGATTGCTGAAATGCAACACGAGTTTGCGAAAGATTACGAATTGTTTCAGAAGATACATGATTTTGATATTATTGTGAACAGATGTCAAAAAGACAAGAACGAGCTTTACACGCAGTTATATGAATGTTCCCAATTGACTCTCGAGGATAAACTGAAGAAATTAACAATGAAGATGACAGAAAGAGAGAGCGAAATTATCTCGTTGAAAAGTGAAGTACGTAATATAGCAGATCTGAACGTTGCAAACAATGAGAAAGCGAGAAATCTGAGTGAGCAAATTATCGAAGCAGACGAAAGTATCGGTTTGGTTAAGGAAGATCTGCATTGTTGCAAAGATTTGCGTAAAAATGTGGAGAATACCATAAAAGCGGAAATTCATAATTTGAAATCTCGGTTGTCAGATCAAGAAAATAATACAACACTCCTGAACGAAATTTACAAGACTTATAGCGACAGCCGGGATGAAATAACTCGTTTAAAGATGCAACTGGAGCATAAAGAATTAGAAATAACTCTACTTAAAACTAATAAAAATGCTTCAATAAAAAGCTATGATATTTTGAAACATTTGCAAAATGAAATCGAACAGAAGAATAAATACTTTGAAACTGCGAACAGTTCAAATAACTTGGAAAGATCTTTAACCGAGAATCAAAAACAGTCAGAAGAAACCTTAAAAGATCATGAAACCAAAAATAGTTCCGCAAGCAGTTCCAGTTTCGTGCCTAATCACGCTAGTTCGGAGACATTAACTGTTTCATCAGCTCCAAGTGAAAAATCTACAACTTTTTCCGATGAGGCTGATGGCTTTGGTTACATTAGCATTAAATTGAATAACAAATCTTGTCAGGTCTGTTTGTACGTAATATAAACTAGGTTTTAATTGTAGAATCAACAATTAACGTATAATATCTAATTGTTATAACAGAATTTTGAGGAGAGTTTTTTAATTAAATTAAAAGTTGTTTGTTATTAGCATACACGTGAAGTTGAAAAATTTAATAATTACGAAAAAAGATCTCGTATATAATATCCTACATCTTTTATATTTTCAGACAGACAGCAGTGTAAAGTCAAATGTATATTCTGTACGCGAAACTGATAGTTCTGAAATGGAAGATAATTTTAACATGAGATCATCAGATATCAAAGACAAAAAGAAAAGTCGAAATTGGATGAAAGTTAGAAAAATATCTGGTAATATCACACTTTCGCGATTCTCTAAACACACAGATATTAATAGTGATTCAGAAACTGAGTGACAGTAAACATAATAATTAATGCTCATTTAATTATACATAATGTTTGTATATAATTATTGATATTAGGAATTGTTATGTGCATTTTTTAAGTAACTTGACATTTATTTGTATTTCGTGTATTTTGTTTTGCTGAATGTTTCACATTTTAAACATATGTCATACTTTAAATTGAATAGAGAAAAAATCTCGCGCATATCTCAAATGTTATACATTTTAGTTCTACTGTTGTACGTTTAATTTGTTGTCTCTATATTGTTTTATCGTTGTGCACATATAGCTCATAAATTAATAAACTTTTATGCAACCTTTACATATTTTTTCAATAATAGAATTCAACGAGAAAATTGCGCGAATTTATTGTGTATGAGAGATTACGTATAAAATATATTTTAAAGTTTAAAACAGTATTTTGAAGTTTAATCAATATTATCGTTTTTATTATTTTAGTCATAAACAGCTAATTGCCAGAACATAGATGTAACGCGAGAAGTGAGCTGTATTAATATATTGTTATGATATTATCCATAAGAAGCAATAATGTGATTGAGAATATTATCGGTATATCAGATATTTTCCTGAACAAGATCGCGTGTAATGGTGAAATGTGGTTTTCGTCATTTGTTACAATAAACGAATCACCCACAAACAGAGACGGCAACTGCGTTGAGTTTACTCGTGCAAGAGCGGACCCTGCTCGAGATTTTATTGCCAATATGCTATAATTTCTGACATTAGATGCCGCTGACGCTTTCGTTCGCTCATTACAACTCGCCCCATCCTCAAATGTGATCTTCCCGCGAAAACGGCTATTCTGACTTCTCTCTCTCTCTCTCTCTCTTTCTCTCTCTTGCGGATACTGATAGATGAAATTATGAGGGAGGATATCGAAATTGAACCGCGATCTCCACTCTGCACAATCTTTTGGCTTCTGAAGATATTACCGGGATGTGCGATGTGATAAGGGGATACGAATAAATGAGAGAAAATCTAATACTAGATTGCAATCTGCTGTAAGTTTACGAACGTAAGAACAATGCTAAGATTATTTTCCGTATCAATTGGTTCAATGTATTTTATAAACAGTCTATTTTAGAAAAAAAGAAATAAGAAGTTGATTTCTTTTAAATAACAAGAGATATTTAGAATAATTTTGATATAAAAGATACGCGAATATTTAATTATATTTTCAAAATGAATTTATTCCATTAATTATTTGCCGGACTATCAATCTGACTGTAATTATTTTCGTATTACTTTCTCGTAGACGAGCTTGTTATCGCGATGGAAAGAGCCACGAGTGATTTGCAGAATCGCAGATCGCAGCGGCCATTTTCACTAGCTCACCTCTTCGTCGTCGGTGATTTCTCGGGGTAAATGTACCGCGAACTTTCCTCTTTCAATTGGCAATAAGATTTGATCGTTGCGGGAAATATCATCCAATTTCCTTTCTCTCTTGGCCGGCCCAGAACATTGCCGCTCGTCCGCCTACTCACGTTCGCCCTCTAACTTCACCATCAACCACCCTCTTTCCGTTATCCTTTACACGCCCGGTCGCAAGACATAAAGATGGCGAAATCATCCCCTTTAGTTCGCCGGTTGAAATTGCACCAATGCAATATGCTTACTGATGCTTGTACGTTATACGTTTAGTACTTTATATAATTATCGTTTTTTTTAATCGATTAAAAAAATTTCTGTTTTGACATGTTTTATTTTCTAATTATCTTATTTAATAAAAATAGAGTCGTAAAAAAAATGAAATTATTTAATAGAACAATTAAGATTATCTTCTATATTTATGCTGAACATCTTATTTACAGATTAAATAAAATTAAATTAAATAGAAAAATGTATATTTTGTATTATTTAACTAATATATATGAAGGTTCAAATAAAATTCAGGACAACTGACGTAAGATAATATACACGCTGTTTGAAGGTTGAGCGAGCACTCGGAGGAGTAATCAGATAGAGGAGGAGAAAGTTATTCTGGGCGAAGTTTGCTCGAGACATTAGTTTATAATTCGGCAATCCCGGATCAGTATTTGTCACGATTAGCCCCCCACGAACCCCCTTCCCCTTTCTCCTTCAACCGTTGGAATATCTGTTTCTGGGGGGGTCTCATCCCTTTCTCTCTTCACCCCTTCTTCGTGGATCCTACGCGAGTTTTCATTAATTTCGCCCAATCCTGCCGAACTATTGTCGTAGTTACGCACAATTTCGGTACGACAATGCCCAGCTTTCTCTGGGATTGACGTAGACGAAAGGGGAGAGCGGAAGGGTAAGAAGTTCTCCGGGTTCAAAGCCCGGGGTGGCATGGATTATATTTCTCGTGTCATTTGCCTTCTGAGTTAGACCGATGACGTTTCGCCTCGAGTCTCTCTGTAGAAATCTTACTACGTGAAGCGAGAAGAGACTTGTCGAGAATGGGATTTGATAGAAAGAGTTTCGATATAAATTGAGAAATTTTCATTTATAATAGATAGCATGTACAGGTATAATAAGCGCTATCGATATTTTTATAAAGACAAGAATGTAATTCTCTTATAATAAATTATCGTTATTATCTTGAGTGTCACTGATGTTAATAATAATCAAATCGATGTCATAAATATATCACTATAAATTTAAAAATTGTACAATAAAAAGTAACTCCACTGCTGATCGAATATTTATGATACACATTTATGATTCACAACGAAACACAATGATAAAGAATACAAGCCGTTGCAAGTACAAATACGGCACTCCTGCGAAAACTTTGACTCCGATATGGCCACTTTTGTCAACGTCGAACGATATCTTAAGAATTAGCCTCACGGGATTTCGAGGCGAGAAGCTACTGTCGGCTATGTTGAAAACATATGTGTGAGTGTCACGGTAAAGCTACAAGAAGAGACGGGCGGAATCGTCTGGACCCATTTGCAACGTCACCCGGACAATTTTCAACGGACAAACTTCCATCTTCGAGCTTCGGGGGTCGGACCTGCGATATTAGAACAAACGATTTCATCTACTACATCCTCATGCCTCTCCCCGAGATCATCCCACCACATCGAGATCTATGCGCGAGCCTAGAGATACAGAGACGATTTCATAAGAAATATCTCACTGTTCGCAGACATAATTCAATTACTCCAATAAATTAATATTTATAAGTAAGATAATAGGATACAGATAAGATAATAGTATAAAACATCTCGAGAATAATTTAAATTTATGTTGATGACAGAATAATGGAAATTTCTTATCATTGAAATAATAAATTTTAAATATCAACTATCATTATTAAAATAATTGTTAATAGAAACTGTTTTAATTAATTTGTAATTCTATTTATAAACATTAGTTTTGTTTATACATTTAACTTATTACAAAATTTTTCTGTAGTTGGAAAAGTGTATTGCGATACAGAGTGGGATTCGTTGGTGGTTATTTACCAATATTGTGGAAACGTAAGGTACAGAGATTCGCGGTTATTCGTAGCGTTTTCATCACCGTACGCAGGCACGTTGAGAACATCCCCCGGATTAAATACAACCACGCATCCGGACGATGACTGCGTTGCGCCGCATCACGTCGCGTCATGTTGCACTGGATAAATCGCGATTGCGTAATATCGCGAGCGAAGCGTTTGCGCGAGTAGAGAATTGCGTAAAGGCAAATATGCGATAGACTATCCGAACGTCCCGTATTGTATGATTGTCTCCGTTCTCCACCCCCTTCTCCAACCATCCCTGTCCGCCTCTCGCCGCTGCCGTCGCGTTTCGCAGGAAATGCCTGTCTTGCATTTCCCGGCATTGTAACCACCCCGTCGGCTTCGGAGTATTGCCAGCCTCCACGTTTGAATTGCATTACCTATTATTGCTTATTGTTCGCACGCTACGTGCCTCTCGTCTCCTGCGTGCCCGGATTTTCTCTCTTCGGTCCACCCCTTGATATCCCTTTCTGCTTAGCTGCGGCTTGACTTTGTCTTGCTTCTTTTTATTCGCTATCGCGAATATTATATCATTAATGTTTCCCGTTTCTTTTTAATAAGCATTATCTTATCGCTTAAATTAAGATAAATTAATACACTACCACGGTATTTAACTCCGCATCAGTGCAAACTTACATGGTCGCGAAGAAGAGCAATAACGATATATTTGATGCATTTCATTTGCACTTGTGAATATTTGCGGACACTCAGGAAATGCCAGATACGAAATCGTGCACGTAACGATTTATTTCCAAGCTTGCCTGTCGACTTGTATGCTAAAAACGTACGGAATCAGATTCGACTGACTGGCCTGGAGCGACTACCGTGCGATCCCCTGGCGCAACTTACCGAGATTTTATTCATTTTTACATATGACCGAGCAGGCGATAAGGAAACACCCGTGATATTTCACGTTTTTATGCGGTCGCTTTGCCTTGAGGTGTTGGCCGGCCGCGTACGCCCTTCGTATAGAAATGTTATACGCCCTGATATGCGAAATAAGTAGCCTCCGGGCATCGGAAAGGCCGCAGTCTCGTTAACTTGACGTCGTAATCCATGATTGCGAAGAAGACCGTTTTTCTCGCGATCTCTTCGAACTCGAAACTTCAATATCACGTACGTACATATATGACATCGTTCTAAACCGACGTTTGACATAAAAAATCGTCGGAATTGTATTATCTTACATCTTTGACAGAAGCATCAACACTTAAGATATTTTTACACTTCCATTCATTATATTACACTGTTAAATTATACTTAACGTTAAATTATACTTAATTTAAGTTATTTTTAATCGTTTCTATAGATTGTAATCTCTAATGTTATTTTTAGTTTCAGTTCATGATTGTATTTCAAGTCCAACGAACCGAATCGCGCAGTTTATAGAATTGAAAAATGTATTTTGTAAATTTGCATATTGAACATTTTCAAGCATCAAGATCCGCTTCGATCGAAAACAGGATTCTTTCTCTTATTTGATTTATTTTTATTTGTCTAAATTTCACTTATAGTAGTTTAT